GATTTACTTTTGATTTCCGGAGTCGTTACAGATGAACTCTCTTGCCAACATTTTCTTTTGATTCATTTTCTGATCCCAGATTGAGGTTTTCCATTGCACTAATGTCGTCCATGGTGCACGGACATATTCTTAATTAACAAAAATGAAATTATTACAGATAATAAAATGATTAAACATCTTCATGATGACTAAAGCAAGATAAGAGTTGGATTAGAAATAATTAATGTAATTTTAGCAACAAAAAAAAAAACATAGTAACATAATGTGATTATGGATGTTAATAAACAAATGTCTTGGAATCGAGTCAATGAATAAGATTTTCTCAAATCAAAATTAATGAAATGGAAAATGGGCATGATAAATTATAGAGAAAAGAAATAGAAAATTAATAATCAATTAAATTAATTACCTTAATCAAACCCTTTTCTTTGAGTTCCGATTTGGATTATCTGATCTCATGATCTCTAAGAACATGGAGATTCATTGATCGATTAGCACTTGTACCCCACGTCAAGAAATAAAGTCAAACATTTTTAAAAAAAAAATCAACCATGATTTTCTTAATCAATCACTTTTCTATTACTTCTTCTTTATTTTTTTTATATTAAAATTACTTAATTGATAAAATAAATTTAAGATATAAATCATTTTTTTATCCTTTCAGATATTTCTCTTAAAATGTAAAGAAAGTAGAGTTTTTAGTTTTTTTATAAAAATACTATTTATAATAAATTTAATTGAATTTAACAGTATAACTTTAAAAAAGTACTTTTACATTGAATAATTCTCTAAGAACAAAAATTAGTTTCCTTTGAAGAATGCATTATTAGCATATGCTCCGGAGCATCATGACTTCGGCTCTACATTTTTAGTAAAATACTATAAGATGATTATTCTATATGACAAATAAAATTTGAGAAAATTCTCTAAAGTGTTCAAATAAGAGAGCTTGTGTTTCACCCACAAGACTCTTACCATTTGTTGGTAGGATTCATGTTTGTTAAAATTGAGTTTCAATTTGTTGAGAAAGCAATTATCTTATCACTTCAGTACTTTTCTTCAGGAACGGTATAGTTAATGTTAGAGTTTCTAAAATTAAAATTAAAATGCTCATTTGTTCTCAGCTCCACTTTATACGGAAAGAAAAATTCTCATTATCCCTATTTGATTCAACTAAACTATCCATGCTGGCTCTAGTACACTCATCTAAAAAAATGCAGTTTTACAAATATTGCATTAGCGATAAATTTTGCAGAAGTACAATATTTACATGACCTTCCACCACCACAAATCTACATACGTGCGCACGAACGCACAAAAGAAAACCTATTTTTCACCTTTATGTCTTCAAATTCTTGAGGTAAATCTTCATGAACGACTAAAAGTTATTTGGTGCATTTCACTCCTAATTCATCCAGTTAAATGGAAGGGCGAGAATTAATAATGAAAAAAGTGTAAGCACAAACAATTCTTAACATATAATTAGAAGATGTTCTTTTTACAAGGGAAGAAGAAACAATTCTAAATGGAACGCTAAAACAAATTAGGCATACTTGTGAAGTAACCATGTTTCTCTGCACAGAACTCAATGCAGAGTGTACTTACTGCACTGCCGAAACCCAAAAGACAAGCAACAGAAAATGATCGGCCCGACCATATTCCACATTCACATCTGGCTCAGCAGTTTGAAACACACTGCTCCTGAATCCCCTCTTAGAATATTGGCCAATCATATCTCCAAAGCACCCTGAATTCACTATGGCAACTGCACCCTGATCTGCTTGGATTTCATCTATACCATGTCTAAAGGGAACTGAGCTCTCAATGCCCACGACCAACTATAAGGAGAAAATAACAAGAAACTACCAAGTACCAAAACAAATAAGAGGTAGCAGGGCCACGCCTCTGTCATGCTCCAAAGAGAATAAACATGGTTACAGGCATATCACAGAACAAAACAACACAAAGACAAAACTATCGTCACCAAAACCCATGAAAAGGTGAGTAAATAAATTTACTGGTGTTCAGGTTGATAAAAGCAAAATCCGCAACCCAAGCAAAATTGAGAAGTACAAAGAGAGCCATCCCCACTTAAAGAGTAAAGAAAACATGCTTTTATTTGATAATTTCCTTTTTTCCATTAGAGGCACACAAATTTTGCCACAATCTTTTGTTTCATTTTTCTTCTTTTTGCAGGCGTACATTTCAACCTAGTTCAAAAATAAAAATAAACAATACAATATAGAAGCTTCATAAACCAGGAACTACCAACAAAACATAAAAAATTAGAACACAGACCAGCATAAACACTGGAAAATCAAGCAGAAATAAAATTCAAATTCCGAGCTGCTAAGTTCAGAACAGATGAATTTCACATTTCATTTCTTCCTTCAAGGCCCCGATGGGGTTTGTAAAGTATTGAACCCCCATATGTTGGGACTCAACCAAACTGAAATGAATTAATTTCACATTTCATTAACATTTTTAAGTATCCACTACAAAAATAAGAAAATATAGATTTAGTAATAAATCCTACACTAGCTTCTTTTGAAATTCATTTATTCCAAACTGTAGTAAAATCATCAGACATCTTCCACCCACAACTGTAGTAAAATTAAATCAAATAGACATTCTAACATAAAAGAACATAGATTTGATAATAGATTCTTTGCTTGCTTTTTTTCCCTCAAATTTATTTTTTCTAAACAAAGTGTTTGAAGATGATTAACATCAATACCCATAACTGTAGCAAGGTTAATCTGCTAGATATTTGTCTCCAACAATCACGGTAGAAGAAACGTTATAGATAAATGGCACTCATTCATACATCAATATATGAAGCTTATAATTAAGTTCTCATGGTAAAATAAGAAGGCAAAAGAGAAAGAGAGAAAATACGTAATTTGTTTCATACACAGATGTGCAAGTCAAGGCAGATCTTTTGGTTCAATTCAAGCAACAGTCAGCAACAAAGGTAGCCAGCCATCACCACGAAGCATGACAGCTCATCTTTGCCAACTTGAACCCAGAAAAAAAGGCAACCACTGCTTGCTAAAAACAAAATCAGCAAACAAGCTAGGCACCTATCACGAGTAGCAAACTGCAAGTACTATCCACTTGACCCACAAGAAGGGCAGCAACAGCCCGCCACAGGTATTTGTTAGTACTTCTACTCGCGAAATCACACACAAATCAATTCATCAGCTACCACTTCACAGCTACAGTCACGACCCATGTGCTGTAACTCACTACAATAAGCAACATAAGCCATAAACTTCATAGGCAGGGACTAAATGTAGCCAAGTCTAGTGAAGTACCCCAAAACAATCAATCAATAGAAACATGTTACCCTCTCCAACAATTGTTGCTGCAATTGTTTCAGAACAGCTTATTATATGTCAAATTCTAGAACCTGCATAGTTTAACGAATCAAATGCCCACCATTTGCAGCATCAGCCACAGGTAAAACCCTGCTCAACTTGGGTCCACCTCTTATACCACCATCACAGCAGGCACAGCCTCTTTCAGGGCCAACATATACAAATCAGAAGAGACCATGATTTATTAGGTCAGAGTTAAAAACCTGAATGATATAAGGCTTTTCATAAACC